CCAAATGGAAGATAAATGACTGTGTCTCAATTTTATAGATATACTACTGTTGCTATTACAATGCCCTGATTATGTTACAATGAGTTTTTAGATGACAAAACTATAAGAAACGGTCATATTTCACAGTAAATAATCTTTTTTGGGAAATGCATGCTCACTTGTAAAACTTGTGTGGCCTATTTTTAATGTCATTCTTTTTTATTATTTCTTTTTTTTTATTTGTTACCTCCACAAAAATTACAATTTTGTGGAAATGATTTCGTCTGATCCCTACGTAATATATTAAAATGTGTTAATGTTCTGCACTCGTTGCTCTCATGGTATTTTGGGGATACTAATTAAGAAATGTTCGGTTAAAAGACACGGGCAAACACAAAATGTGCATTTTAATTCCGAGTTGCCAAAAATACAATTTCAAGTTATTTTGAACACGTTTACACAATCTCCCAACCTTTTCTATTCATTGCTAACGATAATAAAATCTGATAGCCATTCTCGGAGGGGGAAGTAATGTAACGACTTTGGTAGAATGTCATAGAAATCTGGAAACAAATTGATCAAACGGAAGCATTAATATCATCAAAATTACCTGAAAATTGCAGACTTGGTTTGATTGAGTCTGTACATGTGGGATAATACATAAGTGCAACATACCTCATACTCATTATCACAAACCCGTGTCTGTTTTGCGACTCCGTAAAAATGGTATTGCACGGCCGTGCATATAGTTTGACGTGTCGTCATTTGCGTTATAAAAACATAGCGTTAAGACGCGCTAAATGTTAGCGTTATACTATAGGCCCTTCGTTGAAAAATGTTTCTTAATCACTTCGACCGATCTTTATTTTTGGTATGTGATAAATAGAATATTGAATTCGTGTAAGTTTAATACTGAATTTATTGAACTCGTTGAATAAAATATTATGCTCGCCAGAGGCTCGTATAATATAATTGTATACAACTTATTAAATAAATTCAGGATTTAACTTACATACACTCATTCGAGGTCCTCTATTTATGAGCATTACAATATGCAAAACCTAAAGGTGGGGAATTAACATATAGGAAAGTATTCCATATAAAAGGGCATAAAGTACTCTCGGTGGTGAGCTAGATTTTCATTGACAAGGTTTGTGTGCCGTACATGTTACACTGTTACGCATATTGTACAGCTTCTGACAGTTCAGCGGTTTTTTTGTTGTTGTTTTTTTTACCATGGGCCATTCATGCGCCTCTAGAATCGTCTGTTTGCAGATGCGTATTCAGAGTGGCAAGATCATTGGTTTCTGTTACAAAAGATTCCGTGTTAATGTCGTCACAATTTATAACAGCAAATAAAAAGTTTTATCGTATTAGTAGTAAGTTAACTATATTTTATTTTTAGTTTTGGTTTGCATTATGTACATGTACCTCAAAAAGGCATTGCAGAAATCCCAAAAAATAGTGTTACTATTATATATTTATTTCTGATATTGATTATCTTCCAGGGTCCACTTAACTATAAATTTTATGTTCCTGGATGTAATATTTAATTTATTAGCAAAATGAGGAAAATATTTTTATAATAATGTTTTTAAAAGCACACCTGTGGTGGTTTTTAGCTCGACTAAATGTATTTTAAGACTAGAGAAAGAGAGAGCTATTGTACTCACCACTCACCCAGGCGTTTGATTAAGCGTTTGTGTGCGATTTGGTAACACCACAACTATTAAAAGGAATATGTTGAAACCCCACACCATTTAGTTAGAGCAAATTAGAAGGTCACTATCCAAGGCCCGTTCATGGACGTTGGTAGAATTATGGACCTTTTTGAACTTTTTTGAAACTTTCTAAATTATCTAAGCGCTTTTTGTACTATGAAGCACTGACAATAGTCGAACTTTATGTTATAAACATACTTAGCTAATTTAACTAGCACATAATAGAACTGTTTTCTTATAATGATTTATTCCTAATATTGCTTATATTTTACATTGAGAGCCAAGTCATTTCAATTTTAACTGGTAAGTACTGAAATCATTTTTCCAAGTACTTGTACTGACATTACATTACTCTTACAACATTTTTCTAGTATTGATACTGGTATTCCATTAATAACAGTCACAAATTAATGGTACTAGTACTGATGCTGCATTTCGAGCAAATAGTTTCTTTTTTTGTAAAATTGCCAACATTGTTTTCGGTAAGAGCACACTTGTTAATCTTGTATATATTTTTATTTATAAAAGAGCAAACATTATTTTTTAAATCTTGTACATTATGATTAGTGCTTTTCAGAAAATTGATCTGGTACTGATGGTGCATAAGTTAACAGGTGCTTAATTACTTCACCCATAGAACTAGTTGGTACATGCTTTCAGGGCCAATGATTTGTACATATTTATACTGAAATTACTTTGTCAGAATTACCATATGACTCCATTAGTCCTCGCTATAAACCCCATACCCCTTGAAGGATTCTCTTCAAACTTCTTGGTTCAAATGTGTGCCTGCAAGCTTTCCGTGGGGATCGAATGCAAGACAATTTTGTGTCCGCACTATAAATTCTTAAATCCTTAAAGGTCTTTCTTTGAAATTAGCTTAAATATTTACCATAACAAAAGGATAAAGGGACTTGCATCAAATCCTGTGTCATACATGTAGATGGTAGGGTAATGATACGTCACTCAGGCGATATGTTTAAGCTCTATTTTACTATGAAATTAGTAGATGCTATATGTCAATAGAACACAGTCACGCTTCAATGCGCCGGGAGAATGAAACAAAAACGTCGTACTGCTTTGTTAAAATGTTTAATAAACTATTTCTAATAAAAACTTTCCAGTGTTATTTTGCTTAACCCTTACCACACCGAATATCTCAAATAGACTTGTCCATTTTAACAAATCATCATGTTCTGGAAATGTTAAAACAAGTATTGACTGAATAGTGAACAAGTGAAATAAAAATTAAAACAGATTTTAAAAAAAAATCAACAAAAGTGGTGTTAAATGTAAATTTTTGTAGCTAAATGTATATCTATTGCAGCAAAAGTTCACAAGTTTTAGTAACACAAATGCATGAAAAATATGAAATTATAAAGAATTTCAGATGGAAATAATCGCGATAAAGATTAACAAATATAGAACCTTTGAATTATCTAATAAATGTGAAATATGTAATATTATAAGAAATTTTTAATCCAAGTCAAAGTCAAAATTTTTTTTTGCAATTCGGCAGATATCTGTCTTTGGCAATACAAGCATAAATATACATATGGCAAACACACAATAATAAATCTAACAAAAGCAAACATACATTGAATGAAAATTATACATAACAATGCATATATTGTGTTAAGATTATTTTAGTATATCGACAATTTAATACCAATCATAGCAAAGATCTAAGATTGTTTTAATATTTATTTTATAATTGTTCTTTTCTTCTATCAAATGCATCTCTATAGAATTTGCTTAAATGGTATAGATTTTTTTCTTTTAGAATTTGTCATTAATCTAGAAAATTTATTTAGATTTGGAAAAGTGTGTGGCAATTTGTATTTGATTCTTTAATCTCTATATAATGGACAGCATAAAAGAAAATGATACTCCGATTCAACAGCTTGCTGAGAACAAAATTTACATAATCTCTCATTTCTTTCAACCCTTATATATCTTCCAGTTTCGATTTCTAATGTATGAGAGCTTAGCCTAAAAATTGAAAGTTATCTCCTTAATTTACAATTATCAACAATATAAAGATAATCTTCAAAACAAAAATCATTTTTATACATTCTATAGTAATCGAGTTTTGGCATTAATTCAATCGATTCGTGCCATTTCTGGACAAATTGATCTCTCAAACGTTGTTTGAATAATACAATATAGTTACAATTATTTTCAAAATTCTCTATACAATTTGAAAACCCTAAGTTTTTAATTATATTGTGAATACTTTTAGCCCAAGAAGATCCTCTAAAGTTATGTACTTGATCACTATATACACTAAACAATTCTGGTATAGTCTGTTTCTTTATTTTTATCCAATATTTTAATGCTCCTTCTTGACATAAATCTGTTAAAGGGAATCTACCAAGTTCTCCGAGTACTGCGTTGTTCGGAGTTTGTTTTTTAACACCTAAAATGCTTTTACAAAACTTAATATGTAATTTGTCAACTTCTTTGCAATCAAAAGCGCCCAAGATCTCTGAACCATACAGTAATATTGGTACTACCATACTATCAAAATGTTTTAATTTTGTTTTTATATCAAATTTAACTCTATCAAATAAAGATAAAAGATTATGATATGCCTTTAAAGCTTGTAACAAAAAGAATTGAGGGAAAAAATATTATAAACATATTTAGGTTTGGTTATAGATATTGGAAATAGCAACGTGCTAAGTTTTTTTTTATTGTTTATTTTTTGTCTTTCTTTTTACAAAACTGTCCATAATGTTGAATCTAATATCAAATGAACAAGTGATAAGAGTCACAATACGTTCGAAACAATTTCTTTGAGAAATATATTTTAAACTAGTCAAATTTAGCATTATAATTATGGCATAAAGTTTACATTGTGTCACATGGGTTAGTAGTATAATTGAAATATATAGAATATAGCTATATTTACAAAAAAGTATGAAGTATAAATAAAAACACAACTCTTATATTATACTGTTCCATGTGTTCTTAACACCAATGTTATTCTACGTAGCAAGGGATTGACTTTTATAAGATGTAAGATGATGCTTGGTGATTATGGGCAGTGCAAATTGATAAAATAATACTCTTACTGCAATCCCATTTTGATTATCTGTCTCCTATTTCAAATTTGTTACATTTTTCCTGTATACAAATTCACAATATTAATAAATTCATAATATTAATTTTAGTTTGATTTTTTTTATCGTTGTTGTTGTTGTTGTTGTTGTTGTTGTTAAACTGTTACTGTTATGTATCAGTAGATCTACGTCAAGAAAAAAATCTTTTATATCACATAAAATTCTAAAAATTAATGAAGGATATCTTCACCTTTAGATTTTTTGTTAAATGATAGAAAAAAAAATCGTTTTGTCTCAAAGTATGCAGAACTGATATGCTATGTCTACATTTTCAGTGTTCTGTATTTTGAACACTTTATTTGTATTGTGTTATAAATTTTATATAATATTAATAAACATCTTTTTTTATTTTGTAAAAAGATAATACATCTGTACATCAATAGATCAAAATCAAAAGTTATATGTTATATCATAATGTAACAATAATTACTATAATTAAATATTGAATAATGAATGGTGACGATCTGTTGTACACATCCCACTGTAAGGGTCATGTCATATCTTGTAATGTCTTTAAAACTTCATTTTATATAATCTGATATAATTGCCACCACTGTCCTGCTTAAATCTACTAACACAAAGTGTACTGGTTTCTGCAAACCAGCATACAGAAAAAGGACGATATACATCCTCAAGTACAGTTTGACTGTGTTTACAGTCACCACCTACTTTATGTATACAGTGACTATGCCCATCATTCACTAAAACACTCCCATCATATAAGAGTGTTATACCCATTGGTTCTGTAATAAGTACTAATCCTATCATCTCTCCCTGCCAGTTAAATCGTAGAACTACATCATTGCCAGGGTCAGATACATAGATTGAATGACTGTTTGTTGTGGCAAACATAGGGGTATTGAATACATTGTCACCATTGGAATCTTTATCAACTGTTATTTCAACATTACCTTTCAAGTCCATAATTTGGAGTTTACCAGGATTTATAAATGTGATTGCAAGTTTTCCCTGATGATGAGTGATACCATAACACTCTCCATCTGCCTTCAGACTGTTCTTCAGTGAGAATGAGTCTTGGGAGAAGGAAATGAACTGTATTGTTTTACTAAATGCCATTGTCACAGCAAGTACATCGCTTGTGACAAAGGTGACACCAGTAGGTCCTGATCTAAGTTGTAACTGTTTGATATCTCCATTTATAATGTCTATCATTTTTAACGAGTAATTATTGCAATCTGTTGCAAATATTTGATTTTGAGGAGAAACAGCTATACCAGTAATCCAGCAATCATTTTTATCTGAGGATGTTTTAGCATAAATGTGTCTAGGGGTAGACATTTTCATTGCTTCTGCACCGCGATTCTTTGGTTCAGCTGGATGCTTTAGCTTTTTACTACTCAATGTTCCTAATGTTTTCTCATCCTGAAAGAATTTTTTGATGTCTTGATTTGGTTCAAATATGTAATCATCAATGTCATTGATTGTTGGTAGTTGTGATAATAAATTGTTAATATCTTGAATCAGTTCCTGAGCTATCTTCAGTTCAGTAAACAGTTGGTCAGTTTTCTTGTTTGAATTGAGATGCTTTAGAGTATCAGCTGAAGCCTGAAGTGATTTGTTGATGTCATCACATGTTGTTTCTGCTGTGTTCAACGTTTTGTTGTTGTTTTGTTGGATTGTTGTAGCAGTATCTTTAACTTTCTTTTCTAGTTCATCTAATCTCTTGTTTATCTCCTTTCTAAACCTGTCAATTTCTGCCTCAGCATATTTGAGAGAAATTGTTGAAATTGTTTAGAAACTCTTTGTTTTAGGTCACATGTTATCTGGGAGCATTTGTTTGTCAATTTTTCAATATCTTTCAGAGTTTCCTTAAATTCGGTCCTGTCTAAAATCTGTCCTGATATATCAGGTATGTAGTTTACATGACATGATGTTGGTGTATGTTCAAGGGTCACACAAACACTACATATAAGTACATTGTGGTCATGACAGTAGAATTTGATCACTTCTTCGTTGTGTTTACTACAAGGCTTTATACAATCACCAGTCTGTGGACTGGAAGTAGATTTCGATGATCCATGAACTTTTTGTTTTTGTGGCATGTGATCTTTATCTAAAAGTTGGTGATGGCGTAGTGGTTTTGGTCGTTTATGAATATTGAAGCAAGATTGGCATAAGTGTTCCTCACAATCCACACAGTAACCAAGGGCAGGAAGCCTGATATCAGCTCTGTCACATATTTCACAATAAATGTCAAAATCTTCATCACCACATTGAGATAGTGTAGATAAGAGTTTATGAGAGGCCTTTTACCAGGAACTTCCATTATTAATCTGGAATACACAAAAAACATACAAGCATTTATGACTAGCATTAAATTAGTGTAAACTTTGCATGCTTATTAAATGTTGGCTTCAAGTTATTTGATTAAGATTCTACAAATAAGTTGCAAGATTTCAGTATTTTAAACATGTAGGGAGCTGCCGTTTTGTTATTACTGATGTAGTGTTCACCTCCAGTCCCACCCCATTCATAAAAGAAATCAAAACTCAAAAACCTGAGCCATTAAGAACTAGATGTAGGTGGGGTACAGCAAGAATACATTTTATATTTTCATGGTTATTGCATTACAAACTTTTAATATTCATAAATATTTACATTGTATGTAGTTTTCTACAGGATGAATTTTATTCAATTGTTAAAGATAAATGACTTGCGTTTTAAATAAAATATCTCACCAGTGGTTATCCAGCTTGTTAGCATATATATTCGTAAATACACAAAAATCATTTTTAATCTGTCAAGTCAATCTTCTTCTATTAACAAGTGTGTAAACTTTATTTCATTTCTTGTGTGCATAGACCGTGAAATAAGGTATTAAGTTAAACCAAAACTTATTCAACCTGAAAAATATCTTTTTACATGAAATAATTTTGTTAACAAGGATGGGGGTTAACTTTCTTTTTGTATTTTATTTTATATTGAATATTAATACGTTTTCATAGGAACAGAACTAACTTGCTAGATATTATTTTGTTTAGATGACACAATTCCATACAAAATAAATGTTCATATTCTCCTTAAATTCAAAGGGTATCTTTTGTAAATATAATGATCTTAATTTGTTTTGTAAATGACCGTAAGTTAGATAAGTTTGACCTGACTATTAATCAAAATAGAGATATCTTAACATATTTTGTCAAGTATTATTCTTAGACAAATATTTATATATGACATAATATTCAAGATAAGTTGGTGGAATGCTTATCACATTGATCAGTTGATATGATTTTCAAAAATCCTGGTTTTGAGACAGCGATCTCTGTCCACATTCTGGAATTTATTTCATGGTTTTCTAATTTGCTCCATTAACGATCTCTGAAACTATGTTAGATTGGATATTCAATTCAAATATAATTTCCAGAATTCGTAAATTGAAAAGGTGTGAAGAATATGATACATTGATTGCAAACTTCTAAATGTCATGAAAGAATCGATATCTCTCTTTGATGTAACCCTAAACAGTACATGTTATGACGTTTTAAACTGCTAGTTTGTTGTGATTTAATATCCGATTTTATCATTTATTGCCAATGAAAGTTTGTGATGTTAGCTTCTCCTAGTATCATCTTCAACACTTTTGGACACTAGGACTTAATATGACGTTACTACCATATGTCGGACAATTGTTGGTGCAAATCGAAACTACTGATAAGAAAGCCCAAGTCTTTTGCTAGTCGAACGTTTATCGTTTATAACACAATTAATCAAAAATCTAAACATTATCATACAATTATTTGCCACTCTCGTAATCCTTTAACTCTTGAAGGATTTTCTTCAAACTACATACTGCATATATTTTCACTTGAACAAGACGTGTCATATTTGTGATGGCTCAAGGACATCTTTAAACTATCATGCAACAATTTAAATAATTTTATTTAAACCTTAACTCAAATGTTCGCCTTAACAAAGCAATGTGCTGAACAACATTACAAACGATTTTCTGGTAAACTTAAGGATATATCAATTCAAATTTACTTTTCCAAAATCCGGAAATCGAAAAGGAGTGAAATAATATGATACATGTGATTGTAAAACCTTCAAATGTTAGTGAAAGAATACGTGTTCTTTCCCTTATCTTCGAGTGTAATGCTAAAACAGTGAAACTTAAGACGTTTTTAAACCGCTAGTTTGTTGTGATTTAATGTCCGATTTTATAATTTATTGCACCAATGGAAAGCTTTGGTTCTTAGTATATAATATATACTTCAACACATCTTTTGACACCAAAAATTTATATGAACTGTTAAACCTACCATATGTCGAACAATTTTACGTGGGATGCACAACTGGCAAAACTACTGATAAGAATACCCTATCTTCTGCTAGTATGGAAACTGTTTATCGGTGTATCTTGACACATATTACAATCATAAGCTGTCAAGCATGCAAAACACTTGATTAAATTCTGAAAATGAAAAAGAAATTAAGGAATATAATTGGATGAAAAACAAAAGTTAAAGGTTAATAGTTGGTACTACGTGGAAAAATTGTGATAATTAACAGTTTGCTATTGTATCAACAAATTCAGTTATAAGTGATGATGTTATTTATTATAGTTATTAACTTTTTCTAAAAGTCCTATAATTTTGTCATTTTTGTGTCGCCTCTACGTCACAAAACTTGTCCTCAAAAACTACTGGTGCAATTTCATTCAAACTTTACAGGAATGGTCGGTAACAAGACTAGTTGTGCATATCGTCGACATTTTCCGGTTCAATGATTTTGTCAGAGTTATGGCCCTTTAATGATTTTAATTTTTTTTCCCGGACTACTCCTCTTGTATCACTAATGCAATGTCAATGAAACGTAACAGCATTGATATGTAGCTCAAGTTCTTGCGCATATACTACATGGGTTTTATCGTTAAATATTTTTGGCCAAGATATGGCCCTTGAATAAAAAGGTGTGTTTTTGTATATTGTCAGCTACAGAGAAGCTTTCCCGGACTACATCTCTTTACAGAAATGATCAGTACTTAGCCTAGTTGTGCATATCATCGGATTTTTATGGTCAATGATTTTGTCGCAGTTATGGCCCTTAAATAATTTTTACTTTTAAAGTTTGTCCGGACAACTCCTCTTATGCAATTTCATGGAACTTGGAATAATAACTCGTCTCCTCATCACATGAAGCAGTTGTTAGACAAAACCATAAGTCTGAAAACTATATTTTAGAGTTCCGCCCATTTTTATACAGCATGTGGTCCTTTTGTTTTAAATATATTTTTTTTATCATTTTAGTTGACTTTAGAATTGAAATTATTTAAAGGCTTTGAATATGTGACAAATAAATCATTTAAAGGCATAATAAGCCTCACAAATGATATAAAAAAAACTTTGGAGTCATATTACAGTTTCAAAAAGTTACTTACAAAAGCATTTTTAGAATTAGATTTTGGATTGGTACAAGTGACAGATAATTTTGTCATTTCTCACTACATTTACCTGTAGTGTTGTATTTAGCTCTACTTAACTTTTTTAGTTATTGGTGTATTGTCTTCAAAAGAGCAGACTTACCTTGACATTGAGTCATAAATGACGAGCGTTGCCCCCGCCCAGCGGTAGCTGTTGTTTTTAATTATTCCCCGCCGATGGAATCGGGAGGGGTATTGCTTTGGCGTTGTCCGTCCGTCCGTTCTTCCGTCCGTACAAACCAGAGCTACATTATGGGGTTTGGTCTAATGTTCTCATAACAATAGATGTCTTTGATGTCATTCATTCCGTTTCTCTTGTGGGGTTATTTTCTGCATTGTGGGGTTAAAAAGAACAAAAGAAATAACAAAAGAAAACCCCATAATGTAGCTCTGGTAAGAACTTCCGTCCGTCCGCTCTCACGGGAAAGTTATAATGTTGTTAGAGGGACAATAGGTAACTGTTCTTTCTCTCTGATGTCATTCATTCCATAATGTTTTTATGTGGCTATTTTCTTTTGTGTGGCTAAAAAGAACAATAGGGAGAACAATTGAGTAGCCACATTATTACTGTCCCGTTAGAACGTCCGTCCGTCGGTCCGAGTTCCGTTTTCGCACTAGTTTTTTGCAACTACTGGCTGGAATTCAACGAAACCTTATAGGAATCATCAATATCAAGAGGAGATGCGCATATTGCCGGCTTGTTCCAGTGAATCTCTTTAACTCAGAGTTATGGCCCTTGATTAGTCATGTATTATGCATATAGAGCAAAAATCGTTTCCGCGCTTTATCTCTGCAACTACTGACTGTGGTTCAATGAAACTTTATGGCAACCTTCAATACCAAGAGGAGGTAGGCATATCGCCGCCTTGTTCCGATCAGACACTTAAACTCAGAGTTCTGTCCCTTGATTAGTTATGCAGTATGCATATAGAGCAATTATCGTTTCCGTGCTTCTTCTCTGTAACTACTGACTAGAATTCAACGAAACTTTATGGGAACCTTCAATACCTAGAGGAGTTGTACATATTGCCGGCTTGTCCGGTCAGAAACTTTAACTCAGAGTTATGACCCTTGATTAGTTATGCAGTATGCATATAGAGCAAACTTTATGGGAACCTTCAATACCAAGAGGAGATGCGCATATCATCGCCTTGTTCCGGTCAGACATTTTAACTCATAGTTATGGTTCCTGATTATTTATGCAGTATGCATATAGAGCAATAATTGTTTCTGCGCTACTTCTCTGCAACTACTGGCTGGAATTCAATTAAACTTTATGGGAACCATTAATATCGAGAGGAGTCGCGATGTACATATTGTTACCTTGTTCAGACCAGACCCTTCATAATGGACTTTGATTAGTTATGTAGTATGCATATAGAGCTATATTGCTATTTCTTTGCAACTGCTTTTTTGAATTCAGCACAAATTTATGGCAACCATGGATACAAATCCCATTAGCATGTCCAGATATTACTTTTTAACACAGAGTTATGGCTCTGTTATTGCGTTGAATATTTATCATGTACAAAGAATATTACTGTTCATGCCATGATGACTATATAAATAAAGCCTTATGTTTTCAGTTGTTGTGTTAGTAATAATCAGTACTGGGCGGGGATATTAATTCAACGATTTTGCTTGTTGAAAGATAAAAACTAAAAAAGTAATGTTTTCCATAAAATTTAATCTTTAAAATACGTTATTCAAAATAACAATTATTATGTTAATATCTTTTTGTTGACATTTTCATGATGATAATATACAAAACTGTATATGTAATATGTAATTAACATTAATGTGCTATGCATTTATTGTCCATTTCTTCTTTTGCTATTACTTAATCTATGATTTTCACAAATTCACATTAATATTAATATTACATCTTCTTATTTGGCAAATTTAAATCCAGATTTATTCTAAAAAATAGTAATAATTTTCCTAAGTCATTTGATATTTTGCTTCCACTTTTTGTGTACCTTTGGGCTGACTCTTTATATTGAAATTATATTATCCTGATGAAGGTCATTGTTTGAACGAAACCGGCCGATGGATAAAGTGTCTTTGACATACTCCGGTGTTTTGACATGTTGTTCTTCTTTCCTTTCATATTAACTTAGTATCTTTTTTATGTTTGTAGAAATTAACTGCTGTGTATCAACACATCAATAAAAAAATAATTATCTTTTATATCACATCAAATTCAAACAGTTGATAAATGAAGAATAATTTCACCTTCAAATTTATGTTAAAATAATGAAAATACATGTAAAATAAAAATGTCTGGAAATGTGCAGAATACAGATATGTTAATATGTGTACAATTTACATGTTCTTTATTTTTTGCACTTAATTGTCAAACATAATGTATTCTGCATTATGTTTTATCGTATTCTGCTATAAATGATCGCGATTTAACTATATAAATAAAACAAAAATAATAATACATCTGTACATCTATAGATCGACAAAACTCAAGTTATATGTGATATCATTATGTTACAATAATATCTATAATAAAATACTGAATGGCTAATGATGATCTGATGTGTTTATACCATTGTTAGTGACATGTCACATGTCTGTTACATAATTCTTTTTACAGCATTTTATACAATTTGATGTAATTGTTATTACTACGTTTCTTAAATCTACTAACACAAAGTGTACTTGTTTCTGAACACCAACATAATGCACAATGACTATCTACATCCTCCAGTATGTTTTCAAAGTCTAATGAGTCATCACTTTCTTTATACATGTATATACATTTACTGTATCTATCATTCACTAAGAGAGACCCATCATGTAACAGTGTTATATCACTTGGACATTTTATACCTACCAGTCCTATCATCTCTCCCTGCCAGTTAAATCGTAGAATTGAATCATTGCCATTGTCAGATACATAGATCGAATCACTGTTCGTTGTAACATACCAAGGATAGCTGAAAATATTGTCATCGTTGGAATCTTTTTGAACTGTAAATTCAGGATTACCTTTCAGACTCATGATCTGTAGTTTAGCAGGTTCTGTAAATGTAACTGCAAGTTTTCCCTGATGATGACTGATACCATAACAGTGCCCATCTACCTTCAGTTTGTTCTTTAGTGAGAGTGAGTCTGGGGAGAAGGAAACGAACTGTATTGTTTTACTAAATGGTAAAGTAACAGCAATTATGTCTGTAGTGACTAAGGTGACATCAGAGGGTGCTGATTTGAGTGGTAATTGTTTGATAGCTCCACTATTGATGTCTATCATTTTGATAGATTGATTAAGAAGATCTGCTGCAAATAACTGATTTTGAGGACAAGCAGTTATACCAGTGATGCAGCAGTCATTTTTATCTGATGATGTTTTTATATTAATGTTTCTTGAAGTAGACATTTTCATTGCTATAGCACCTTGATTCTTTGGTTCAGCTTGCTGCTTTAGCGTCTTACTTTTTAATGTTCCTAATGATTTCTCATCTTGTAAAACTTTATTGATAAATTCATTTGGTTCAAAGATGTACTCATCAATATCATTGATTGTTGGTAGTAGTGATATTATATTGTTATTATCTTGAATCAGTTGCTTAGCTCTCTTGAGTTCGGTTAACAGTTGGTCAGGTTTCCTGTTTGCATTGAGATGTATTAAAGTATCAGCTGATGCTTTAAGTGCCTTTTCAATGTCATTACATGTTGTTTCTGTTGTTCTCAACTTTTTGTTGTTGTCTTGTTGGATTATTGCAGCAGTATCCTTAACTTCCTTTTCTATGTCATCTAATCTCTTGTTTATCTCTTTTCTAAAGTTTTCTATTTCTGCTATAGCATCTCCAAGAGAAGTTGTTGATGTAGCAACTCTTTGTTTCAGGTTACTTGTAAGTAGGGAGCATTTGTTTCTCAATTTATCAATATATTTCAGAGCGTTTTTGAACTTGCTGCTGTTTAAAACCTGTCCTGATATGTCAGGTATGTAGTCCACATGGCAGAATATTGGTGTATGTTCAAGGGTCACACAAACACTACATATAAGAGCATTATGGTCATGACAGTAGAATTTGATCACTTCTTTGGTGTGTTTTGTACAATGCTCTGTAAGATCACCAGTCTGTGGACTAGAAGTAGATGTTAATGACCTATGGAGTTTTTGTTTTTTCGGCATGTGATCTTTATCTAAAAGTTGGTGATGGCGTAGTGGTTTTGGTCGTCTGTGAATGTTGAAACAAGATTGACATAAGTGTTCCTCACAATCTACACAATAACCAAAGGCAGAAAGCCTGATATTAGCTCTATCACATATTTCACAATAAATGTCGAAATCTTCTGCACCGCTTTGAGATATTGTAGATGAGAACTTTTTCGATGCCTTTTTACCGGAAACATCCATTTTTTAGCTAAAATGCACAAATAGCATACAATTATTCATTACCTGCAGTGATTTTGCTAGAAGAAATTTGATTCATATTCTATATCCTTGGTTGCTTCTGCCCAATTTAATATGTTTACCCTTGATCTAAATTCAAATTATTTGTTGAAAGCAAAATTTCAGATTCTTTTTCTCCAAGGAAACGGGTTTCAAATTAATTGATGCTTACCTTTACCCCATCCAAAAAAATTGTTACATCGAAAATCAGGACAGATGATGGAGGGGTACAGGAAGATGATGAAGGGGTACAGGAAAATTTTGTCAAAGTTATTGTAGGTAAATGGTTATAAGATATTTGTAATGTTATTTACATGTTGAATCTCATTTACTTTTAAAAAACATTGATGATAAATAAGATCATAAACTCACCATGATTTATCCTGATTGCAGCAATAATTTAAATACACAAAGTGTAGTATTTTTAATATTTCTCATCTGACAAATGAAATTTCCGGCTAGTATTTCCGCTGATATGAAGTTTATAAAATCAGTTCTTAAAGATTAAGTTATTGATTCACAAGCTAACACTGGTTTCATATTTGAATTAGCATGTTACTCTTTATAAATGTACAAACAAATTTCAACTTTATAAATACTATCTTGCTGTACAAACAAATTTTACATTTTATGCTATCTTGCTGTCATGGCGTATACAATGTATATATGGACATTTCTAAACTAATCTTTTAGTTAAAATATCCAAGATAATATTGAATAGTTAAATATATACGTATCAATACAAATAAATTGCTTGTAAACATTGTGAAATTTAATCGGTTGATATACAAAATAAATGTCCTTCACTATCCAAAGAAAAGACTATTGAAATATTGTGCGTCTTTACTCCAAATATGGAATGGAGATATAAAAACATGCATCCAGCAAGAGAACAATTTTTTTCTCCACAAATAGTTATAAACTTCCCCATATATTTTTCTAAAACCCTGAATCTGAATGGGTAACATTGAACAAATTGCCATAGATCAAATTTGCACATCATATAATGTCATAATCTAAACTGTCACAGAACATATCATTATAAATCAAATTGTCATATAATATAATGTCATTAAATCAAATTGTCACATAAAACATCGTTATGAATCATATTGAAAAAATATCGCTATGAATAAATTTGTTACAGAATATATTGTCATAATCAAAATTGTCACAGTATATAATAAATATGATAATCGCAATTGTCACAGAATATAACTTCATAATACAAATTGTCATAGAACATATCATTATTATTCAAATTGTCACAGAATATAATGTCATAAAATCAAATTATCACAAAAAACATCGTTATGAATCAAATTCAAAAGATGTCGTTATTAATAAAATTTTCACAGAATTTTATGTCATTATCCAAATTGACACAGAATATAACGTCATTAATAAAGACCAGAGACTATAATGTCATTAAACGTACTGTCACAAAACATATTGTTATGAATCAAATTGTCACAAAAATATCGTCATGAATAAAATTGTCACATAATATGATGTCATTTTCCAAATTGTCACAATATAAAATACCATTTTCCAAATTGTCACAGTATAAAATACCATTTTCCAAATTCAAATTGTCACAGAATATATCTTTGTGAATCATATTGTCACAGAATGTAATGTCATTATTCAAATTGTTACAGAAGATAATGCTAAAACCAAATTGGGACAGAAAATGAGGTCATGAATAAAAAAAAATACTACACAGACTATAATGTCATAAATCTGTCACAAAAAATATTGGTTTGAATCAAATTTTCACAGAATATAATGTCCTGAATCAAATTCAAACAGAATATAATATCATAAACAAAATTGTTACAATGAATCAAATACCCCAGACAATTATGTCATAGACCAAAATGCCACAAAACTTATTTTTATGATAAGATCGTCACAGAATATAATGTCATAAATCAAATTGTTATGGAAAATATTGTTATGAATGAAATTGTTAAAGAACATATTATCATAAACGATTTTGTCACTTTAATTATTGCGCCGCGACAGGGGCTCTTTCTTTATACCAGTCCTCTCAAATTATGTTATGTAGATATGATGCTGTCTCTATTGAAGTAATCATTACATATTTCATTTTTGAAGTTTCGTCTGATTAGATTAATGATAATACTGGATCCGATGAAAACAACAACGAAACCAATTAAAGGAATTAGGGGAATACAACTCAAGTGCTAGCACTGAGCTGTAGACAACAAAAAGTTTCAACTTTATAGTTCAGTGGCATTAAACTTTATTCAATTGTGAATTTCTGACTTACATTTGTGAATTTCTGACCAACTTGTTTATGACATTGATTTCAGTATTTGATTTGTATATATTAAACTGGAATCACTTTTTCCTGTCTGTTTTTGTGTCTCCATCATTTCCTTTACATTTGAAGGATTCTCTCTTAACTTGGCTCAATTGTTCACTTCATCGTACCCTGACTCAATATCAAGGTTGCCTTGAAGGTCGAATGTCAGACAAGTTCGTGTATGTACTATAAATTCTATAATCCTTGAAGAACTTTATACAAACTTAACTTAAATGTTCACCTTGAAATATAGGTTTAAGTGTACTGATATTAAATCCTGTGTAATGCATAGAGGCGGTTGGTTATTGATACATCACTTATGTGACGGCTCTTAGTAGCATTTGTGGTTGATTAGGAAAATATGGTCGTGTCAGTATGTACATAGGCATCCTTCAATACACAGAAAAAATGAAACAAATCATAAAACTGAATCATGCCTGAATGTTCAATGAGATTATTTCTTTATACAACAAACAAGATTTTGCTTAAACATGGTACATTTATATAAATTATGATTTATGAATATTTTATTCATACATTTCTAAACCTCTGAATATATTTTACTTAGGTTTGATTTCCTAAAATTCTGTTTACTAAGTTTAATATGTGCAGCATCCAACTGGTTATCCAAATTTTAATAATTATACAATGTTGACTTCAAACAGAAAATGAATAAGAAATGTCATCAAACTTGATGCTAAAATGTACATTTTTGAAAAATACCTGTCGGTTTTTTTTGTATTTTCTAAACTAAATTAAGATGTATAATTGTTTTTATAATTAAGTATTATTTTTGTATTAGGGAGAATGCATCTACATGAAAAATATGAAATATAAGAACTTTTTTATAGAAGAATATTTTATCTATCAATATAACAAACATAATTATTAAGGTCTAGTTATAGCAGAGTGTTTAAAAATGAGTTTTGGGTTAAAAAAATCTAATGTCAAATGAACAAATAGTGATAAGAGTCACAATACCTTACAATTTCTTTTAGAAATATGCTTTAAAACAGTTAAATTTAGTATAATATGGCATAAAGTGAAGAAAGTGTCACATTGGTTCGTATAATTTATATATAGAACATGGATCGTTTACAAAACAATCAGAGGATAAAAATATAACTCTAATATCATATACTGTCCCCTTTTTTCTGATAACCAATTTTATTTTATGTAGCAAAACTGTTGAAGGAATTGACTGCTAAGATACAAAATGATTAAGAGCAGTGCATAGAGAGAAATAAAAATGTATCTTACTGCAATCCCACGTTGATTAAATTGTGGAATTGCAGTAAGATACATTTTCTCTATGCATTGCTCATAATCATTATGTATCTTTGCAGTCAATCCCTTGAATAGTTTCAATTTAGTAAATACTAGTTTTTATTCTTTGTTCTTGACAATTAAAAATGTGATGGCAATTTATATCACAAACCTCCCAAAATCATTACCAAATAAATCAATATGGTCAATCATCAAGATGCGCAGTACTTAAGAACCTTTGCAGATCATCTTATGTTGATACTTACATACAGTCTTATGTTGATACTTACATACAGTACATATTTCGATTAAGTGTCAATGAAACATTCAGATTTTCTGAGAAATTTATATCATTTTTCATTTTTTATCACCACTTTAGATCCTTTTTTTAATTTTTGGACCTTCATTTAGAGAGTCAAAAATCCTTATAAAGCTAGCAAACATGAAGTGTCGTGCAAGATTCAATAAGTTCTGCTGGTTTGGTCCAGAAATATGACAAAGATATACAATCAAAAACAAATATCAAATTTATGAATATCAATACCTTTGAATTTAACTGTGTTTATTTCATAATTAAAATTCACAGTGGCTAAAATTGAATATCTCCCCTGCATCAAAATTCAAACAACGAGGTCTTGTTTGATTATCGCCTAGAACAAGACTTGCCTTTTTTTTGTTCCTCGTGACTCTTTGAATACAGTTGTGTCTTACATATTATAGCTGCTATTAAACATGTTAAAGCATTCTCGTAAATTACAAAGAACGCCAAGTCTTTTGTCTAGATAGTATATTTCAGCAAAGAATAAGTATAATATATCAACAATTCTCACGACAGTGGTTGTAGCTACAGTTTTATGTCATTTCTTGAAATTTATAGCTTGTAAATTGTCTGCACGACTTGTTCTCGGACGTGTTTTAAAATTTATATTTTCCTTTCAAACTGTTGAAAATTGCGATCATATCTTAGCAGTTTTGATATAACAAGCAAAAATGTTTTATATCATACATATTCCATAGAAAACTAAATTATAATTATATATTATATAAAGGTCACATGGTGAGGAAAATGTGCACCCTAAAGAACTCGAACCCAGGACCAACGGGAAATCTAAAAATATTAGCAACTTTCTTTAAGCAGTTACAATACTAAGATTAAAATTAACTGGTTTTTATTAAAAAATAAAAAAAATATAATTGTAAATAAGCGAGACTTTTCATTGTTTTGCTAAATGTCAGTCACACATAAAAAAGTTCTTCGTGAGGTATGCCACTTTATACAGTACAGTCATCCCAATATGCTAAATAATGTTTGACTGCATTCACGCTCATTTAGGTTTGATTGTATAATACTACTGCAAGCTAAACTATACTAATGCTAATTGAACTGTTTTGTAGCATTATTCAAGTTTGCCTGTATTATGAAAAAAAACAAGTATGCCTGTATTTATGCTAGATCAAGTTCCGTACTAAATCAAAATAAAGTTTGCCTGTATTTAAGATTGGTCAAGCTTCTTTGCATTAATGCTTATTCAAACTAGAAAGTATTTATGCATCTGCAAATCTCACCTTTTTTATGTATGCTTACTCAGGTTTGTCTGCATTCATGATTATTTAAGTTTAACTTTTTTCATATAACTTTAAGCTTAACTGTGTTTATTCATTCTAAGTTAAGTTTAACACGGTTCTATGCTTTATCAAGTTTTTCTGTTTTCACGAATTTCAAGTTTGATTGTACGAGAACTTATGTTAAACAAAATTTGATTTTTATGCAACTTCAAGTTTGATTTTATTTATGCTTAATCAAGTATGACTTTATTCCTGCTAATTCAAATTTGACACTATTAAAACTTATTTAAAT